TTCATTTCTATTTTTGAGTAATGTGTGACTTGGAATAACACTAAATGGTTAATGCAATCATTGAGTGTTTTCCGAAGTCCCACATTGCTTAGGGATTAAGATTAAAGGTTTTGCCTTCATCTATATAAGGCCTTGCTTAGGAGGACAATCCTTATATTTGAATTAACTCAAGTATTAACACATTTCAATTCAATGCATAAATATTTATTTAAAACATGTATATTTAATATAAAATAATATATATGTATATTACTGTGGAATAAGCACCCCGGTTCAAAATGTCTTAATGATTCAAATTGATGAGGCCCTGGACATATGTAAGTTTGATTCGCAATAGGGCAAAGAACAAATATGTGATCTAAATCTTCTACTCCACCAATAGGAAAATCTTTATTTTTTTGGCGGACATTGAATCCTCCAGATGACTTTTATTTTGGCCTCATGGTTCACGCCTACGTTCATTTCTTGTGTTAGTAACCATGAGCATTAGGACCCTATCGAAGATTATCTTCAATATTACTAACTGCAATATAGATGTAGCCACAATGTTATTGATTAAATCCGTTAGGACCATCAATTCCAGCTTATTTAAGTCCCATGTTTTTCAGTCCCCGTTGATGAAATCTTGGAGTTTTATTTCCAAGTCTATTATGCTTGTTCTTAGATATTCTGGGGTTTTGTCCATGGTTTTTAAAATCAAACCGGTGATCGAATTGGTCAGGGGTCTGGTTACTGGTTCGAACAGCCTGACCGTTTGATTCAAACAGTCGGCCCGTTCTGATAAAAAAATAAAAATAAATAAATAAATGAAAAATGGTCAAAACCGTTCAAACGGTTAACTAGTCAGCTCAGTTGTTTTGTTGACCAAAATCAATGGTTTTGGGGAAAAAAGCAGTTTTGGGGGAAAACGGAACTGGTTACGTCACCGGTTCCCAGCTTTTCGGTCCGACCATCCGGTCCAGTCCGGTTTTGAAAACCATGATTTTGTCAATGAGTGGTTGGTCAAAGACCCAATTTTCTGACCAAAAAATAGCTTTGCCATCCTTCCCAATTATCCATCTTAAATCTTTTAGAACAATATTCTTGCATTTTAGAATTCCCTTCCAAACCCATGAGTTCTTCTTTGTGGGCTGAACCTCTCTAAAATTTTCTTTACTTGGGTATTTAGCTCTAACAACTTTCACCTAGAGGCTCTGGTCATCTTTTAAGGATTCGCCATCCAAGCTTTGCTATAATTAGCCTGGTTCACAAGTTCAACATTTCTAATAGTCCACCCATTTTCCTTGTGTTTCATATGGTGTTCCATTTGTCCCAAGCCATCTTTCCTTTGTTATTTCCATGACCCTAAAAGAAGTTCCTCTAAAGCTTATCAATTTGCTTTAGATTATCCTTAGGAAAGAGAAATGAGCTCATCAAGTATTGTGGGATAGTTGAGGTGGCTACTTTAATTATAGTTATCTCCTTCCACCCAACAAGTTTGTTTTTTATTCTTTTAATGCACTAATGAAAAGTCTTCTCCATAACCCTAGAGCTGATGATTGGGGCCTTGAGATACTTCTCTTCCTTGTTACTTAATGGGATTTTTAGAATCCTAGCCAAAATGTTTTGGAGTCATCGAGGTATATTCTTTTACAAAAGAAGAGGACTTCTCAAAATTTGGCTTTTGACTCAATGCATTGGAATATTTGTAATTATATCCCTAATTTTGTGGCATGTTAGGATGGTAGTTTTGGCAAAAATTAAACAAGCATCGGCAAATTGGAGAATGTGGATATTTGGCCCATTTCTTGAGGTTAGGATACCAAGATCATCTTCTTGGGGGCCAGAAGCAACACTTATCATTCTTGATAAAGTTTTAGCACAAAAAACAAAAACGTATGGAGAGAGAGTGATTCTTTGCCCTATTGAGAATCAGTGTATACAATAGTTATACACTGCATTATCCAGTTAACCCACTTATCCTGGTATATGCCACATCATCACGGTTCAACCCTAGTTGAACATCTGACCCGTAAACCTCTCCTCTCTCTGGTTCTATACCTGGTTCAGTTCTTTGAATATTACTAAATATTAAGTTTCAAATATTCTTATTGTCATGATTAACAACTAGATGACCTTATGGATTGAACTACTACTTACCACTTTTAAAAAAAAATTGATTTCAACTCCAAGTCATTTAAAAGTATGAGTTTTTTGTATATATTATTTATGGATTGTAGATTTAATTAGTGATTGTTTTCATTGAGAATTGGTGATATGCAATAATAAACAAATAAAAATATACTTTAAGTATAGGATTTAGTGGGAAAGATTAAGAGTAAATACCTTCAATATAAGTCTTTATAAAGGGGAATAAGATGAATTTAAAAGTGACAATCCATAATATTTCAGTATATTAATGAGTCATTATTGTACATATTACTTTATTACACATGTATTTTAAAGAAAATGTAAATTAAGAAACTTGAACTCTAATCATTTGCTTTAAAATTTAAGGAAATTTCCATCCACACACACCATATTTAAGTATATTAAAAGTTGTAAAATATTTTATATATAATATAAATATGATCTCTAATATATATATATATATATATATATATATATATATATATGTATGTATGTATGTATGTATGTGACACATCATCATAGTTCGACCCCGGTTGAACCTTTGACCGTAAAACTAATTGTGGTTAGTATATTCATTTTCTTATTACATATTAAATTTTACTCATGAAGGGTGGGGGGAGTTGTTAAAATGTAGTTGCATTTCATTCTACTATTACTTCTAAGTTGCACTTTTACTTTGAATAACTAATTTTGGATGTTTTATTTTTTTGGTAGAGAATCGTTGGGCTTTCTTAGCAACAAAAGCGATAGAACAACAATTAGTGCATGAGGAATCCATTCTTTGTGTAGTTTATCAACAACTTGGCAATGTATTAATTTTAGCTCTAGAATATTTTCAAAATTACGTAAGAGTAAATCTATTATTGTATTCTATATATTTTGAAGACTTTAATACTTAATAATCTATAAATAAGTAATACTGCAATAACTTAATCTTTTTTCTTCTTGCATGTCTTTTTCATTTCCTTTGCATAAAGACTCATATTTATAAAGGAAAAATTTTGTCAAAAAATCACAAAATTAATCAATTGCAATGATTAACATATCTATAGAGGAATAATCTGCCCAACATATCCAACAACGGTCGACCATTTAGTTATGGTCGTGGGTTATGGAACCTCGCTTGATAGCACCGACTATTGGATAGTAAAAAACTTGTGGGGAACTAACTAGGGCATATCAAGATATGTTCTTATGAAAAAACCGTAATTTGTGATATGGATTATGTAACAACAATTCATTTATTAGCTATGCCACCAAACATTTCTCTTTGTCTTCCACATCTAGCCAACTCAAAAGCTCATGCCTCTGCAACATGGTTATCCCACCTCTAAACTTGTTTAAATTAATAAGTTTTTATTGTATATATTACTTTATTATTCATGTATTTTAAAGAAAATGTAAATTAAGAGATTTGAATCCTAATCATTTGTTTTAAAAATTAAGGATTTTTCTATCAATACACCATATTTAAGTATATTAAAACTTGTAAAATATTTTATATATAATATAAATATGAACGGTCTCCAGGTTTTCTGTTCCAACCATCCAGTCCAGTCCGGTTTTGAAAATCATGTTCTTGAAGTCATACTTAAAGAAATTTGTTTGTTTTACTGCATTTACCAAACAAATACAGCCAAAATGAAAGGAAAAAAAAAAACACTTCCACCAGGTTGCAACTAAATCATTCATTTTTTTCAAGAAAAAATCTTAGATTTCTTTCTTGTGATATTTCTTTTCCCTCCCTCTCTTCTTTGTGGTGGTGGTGGTGGCTGACTGGGGAAGAGACGTACACAAGAAGATGCTTCCAAGCTTTCTCTTAAGCTGTGTTTGGGTTGAAAGAAAAGATAGGGAAAGGAAGGTTAAGGTAAGGAACAAGCTTGTACAGGTTTCCCTACCTTCTCTTTCAAACCAAACACAACCTTAACTAAAACACCAAAAGAAGTATCCATCACAGGCGACATTACTATAATGGTCTAAAGTAAGCTCTCTACGACATGGAGGGTAAAGGCCTAATTCCTGAAAGCTCTACATATGTGTGCAATTTCACCTGCACTAGTAAAAATGCATGAAAGAGCAAATGCCCAAAAAAAATGAGTAAAATGCAAATTCTGGTGTAATTTTGCTTTGGGTTTCATTTTACTCTGTTTCAGGTATTTTTACCTCATCTGTACTACAAAGGTAAAAGTCCAAACAAAAATAAACTAGAATTTGTATTCAATTCATTTGCGCTCCCACATCTTTGTACCAATGCAAATGAATTTGCACTGCAAACAAACTAGGCCAACAAAGGGACTGACTGGCCAAGGTTCAAAATTTCAACACAATACTCTTTGTATGAGGTGGATTATACAGTATCAATGGATGTCAGAAAATACAAGGGCTTTGGCCTTTTGACCCATTTCACGGGGTAAGCAGGTCTAAGACCAACCCTGACCTATTTTTGAAAATATAAAACTGTCCCTCCTGTGTCATCGATACTTTGGACCTAGCAACTGAACTTCTTCCTATGTGCATCACTTGATCATTGGCCTTCATCTATTTCAAATATATTAAAAGTTAAAACATCTTCAGAGCTCAGATCTAGCCAGCCTTAATCACATTATACTTTTGCCTTTAGGGGTCTCACTGTTATTAGAGAATTTGGGGTTCTATGCCCCTATCTCATCTTAGAACGCATAGGCATAGCCAAAGACCTACCGACGGTGCATAAACTCCCATGAAATATAAGACGTGCAATCTGCAGTTCCGAACTAAGGGCAACAGAGACTGGTTGAAATTGATAGACTTGAGATTCCCAATAATTCATGCACTCAACTTTCGAATAGTATGCGGTGACAGCCCCGAGAGATATAATCCATATTGAGATAGAGAGAGAGAGAGAGAGAGATCATTCCTCGATTATACAAAATAATACTTGGGTTGAACATGGGACTTCACACGTTTGTATTACAAAGAAAGACTAGTTTTGCTATCAAGACATTGTAACCTGGTAAAAAGCATGTGAAAGATCCAGATTAATATATACTATACAAAGAAACAAAGGGGAAAAACTTGCTTGAACGCTGCTTGATTCTTCAGCATAACTTCAAAAGGCTGCAGTCAAGCTCAAGCTGGGAATAAATGGCTGCACAGTACTTGAGGCCACCCATGAAGAAAAAAATCATTAATGGCCTGTGTGGTGCATAAATGTGGTTATGTAATGCAAAGAATCCGTACTTCATATAGACCCTCCTCACGAATCAAAGGTTGTCTTTCAACCATTTTAGAGCCCCATTTGCAACAGACCTGCAAGTTTCATGATTCATCATGCAACTCTGATCAACGTCAGGATAAACATCCAAAAAGTTAATGCAATAAAATTCATTGAGGTTATTCCAGAATAGAATATAGTATTTTTTTGGAAAAAAGAAGTCCTTTCCAGGAAAAATAGAAACTTTTGCAAATAATCCAATATATATTATGTGGTTGATAACTGTAGCATCAACACTAAGAAAATGATGTGGTGCTCATGGCAAGTATGGGCATAGCTAATCATGGATAAAGAATATTAGTATCAGTTTAGAAAACTAAACCCACATCAAACTGATAGCAAATAAATTTGATCTTAATGATGAAGCAATAACAATGAAAAATTACCCTGCAAAATCTTTTATCTTCTGCCACAAGTCATTCTGATCTGCAGATTCCTCGGTTTTTTCTGTGTCTGTAGATTCTGTACTCATCTGAGTTTCTGCACTTTTAGCTGCAGAAAGCAAGAATTTTAATCATTGATAAGGTAAGTTGATAACAAGCGCATCAAGTTCAGTGGAGCTTTTCTTATACCGAATAAACCAAGCATTAAGCCAACCACAAATATAGTAACAATTAATTTAATTAAGCCTTAACACAATGTGAATCCTAGATGTGCATACAATTTTATAGCATTTGTTCACCACCACAGAAGGTGGTAATATCTATATTAGATACATGACATTGAATTTTGGCACTTCAAAACAATACATCTGATGCCAATCAATCTCAGGTCCTTCAAAAGTATTTACCTGGTGGCTTGGGTTTAGGACGTGTTCGTGGGCGACTTTTTGATGTGTCACTTAGAAAAGCAAGTTCTTCAAGCAACTCACGTTCCTTTGCACTGCAAAGATAAGCAAGGGCTGTGAAGTTAGATCTAAGACTAAGGTCAAATAAGTGGGATTTTGCCAGTAGGAGCTGGTCAGAAGAGAGTCACAAAATAAAACTTAGAATAATGATGTGCTTAAACCTAAACAGCTTTCATTAATTATTGGAAGTAAATAACTTTGACATTACACTTAATCTTGAATTGCTTTCTTTCTTTTCTTTCTTTTTTTTTTCGGAAAAGGTAAACTATTGTATTAATCAAAAGAAAAAAAGCCCTTGTACAACTAGGGGCTGTATAATTGCAAATATACAAAATACAAAAAGTATTTACTCTATCATCAATCCTTGATTTTTAGAAAAAAGTTTTTCATATTCAACAAATGAATTGAAGCTCCTCCTTATGGACAGTTTTCATTAATCTCAGACTAGAGGAAAAACACCTAATATACAAACAGATAAAAACAAATTTGAATGGAGAAAGATGGTACTTCTATATGCACATAATATAATATAAAAAAGAGAACACTTAGGCAATAAATATAGATATGAAACTACCTCCAATAACATAATACAGCTGTTGTGACTACCAATGAGTACATTAAGTGAATGTGAAGCCAAGAATATGTGCTGAACAGCTCATTAGAAAGAGGAATTAAAAATTAAGTTGAGTATGTCATTATGTAGGTTGTTGGTCTGTCAGGGATAAAAGTTTGTCATTTAAGAAATAACAATTAAGCATCTGTCGTCAGATCTCTTATTATTGTATAGTAAGTACAGCCCAATTTCTCTTATTATGAGGTAATTGTACATGTTATGTTGAAGTGAGGGCTTTATGTTAATGTTCTTTTTTTCCCTCTTGCGTGATTCAGATAATGTTGGCTAGGATATATGTAAAGCCTCTGAAAAGAGGTGTTCAAACAAGAGATACATTCTGCAGAATTACTTCTAAGAAATTCAGCTTTTAACAGCTTATGCACATACCTAGAACTTAAGGCTCAGTTTGGGAAGAGTACAAATACAAATATGTACAATGAGAAACCCTGTATTTGCACTGTACACATTTGTATTTGTACTTTTGGAAGAAGTGAAAATACAAATATGTCAGTGAAAGTATGGGTTTAGTCTCAAAGAACCATTCAACCTAAAAGCTTAAGCTGTTAGGTGAGGTCCTTGAACAGGTTGACATTCTCTAACACGCCCCCTCACACGAAAGCCCATTGGGCTTGAAACGTGAACAATGCACAGGCCCACCCATACCTTGTGCTGAAACTTATTTAATTATAATCAGGGTAATGAGGATTGAACACTAGACCACTTGGTCAAAATGGCTCTGATACCATATGGTTCTTTGAGATGGTATCAGAGCCACTTTGACCAAGTGGTCTAGTGTTCAATCCTCATTACCCCCATTATATAAATAATTAAGTTTCAGCACAACATATGGGTGGGCCTGTGCTTGTTCACACTTCAAGCCCAATGGGCCTTCTTGTGAGGGGGCATGTTAGAGAATATCAACCAATTCAAGGACCTCACCTAACAGCTTAAGCTTTTAGGTTGAATGGTTCTATGAGATTTAGAAATACAAAATACAAGGCTTTGTACTGTACCTATTTGTATTTGTACTCTTCCCAAACTGAGCCTAAGGAACACCAGATATGGAACATGAATAGAACTTGAGTTAATACAGCTTAACTGGTTGATTTGCTACAGGGAAAATAGCTAGAGGCTTTTGCTCAAAATGTGTACTACTACAGAGATGCATTAACTGCTCTAATTTTTAAATAGACAGTTTATTTGTCATTCATGCTTACGCATAAGAACTACATATAATCTTTTTTTGGTAGCTTTCCTCCAAACTCCAATACCCCCTCCCCCATAAGAAAAGGTGGAATTCAATCTCAAGTCTCCACTACAACAAGCCAGAGACGTTACCAGCAAGCTAGCTGGCACCTTCAAGAACTGCATACAATCTCAGCATGAAATCATCATTCAACAGTTTTTCTTACATAAAAGAACATCCACATTACAGTACGAGTGCCACAGTTACCTACAGAAAGATCCTAGTCCTAGATAGGAAAGATGAACATTTGTCTTTAGTAATGTACATTTCTGTACATATATGGATGTCAGAATAAACAAGACATCTTATCATTTACAACACTCCATACTTGTTTGCACAAGTGTCGTAGTCCACGTTTTCTTCAGTTCATCAAGTTAGGTTCCTCTTTGGATACCATCTCTTAAGTCCATATCCAGGCAAAAACTCTGTTCTCACACTTGCCAGCTCAAGATTTCACCATTGCACCAAGTAATGGCCCAGAATAATATTTTCTAGAAGCATTCTGTACAAAAGAAAATTCTAATACCGCAATGATTGAATCTAAAAAATAGTTTGGAATTCACAAGTCTTCCATTGAAAATTTCCTTTCTACTTCCTACTTTTGTCATGTTTTCTCTAAATTTGTATCAACTCAGATCCAGGATTAGTTTTCCTATTTTGGATGATTCACACCAGAAAAACTCCTGGACTCTGGGACCTTGGTACAGCACAAACTCCTAAAAATGAATCAGTAGAGAGCAGTCACACTGTTTTAAGTTTTAACCAATATTTTTGAGAAATGAACCAGGCCAGATGATCATACAGGGTTGACTAGCAAACTGACCTAAATGGCCCAATCAAAATAACTGTGCAAAGCCTAGTTTAATGATTAGTCAACTTTGATACTTGATTTTGTTTGTCTATTTAGAGCTAAAACATCATTTTTCTACAAGCCCAGTCTGCAGTCAGGTCATACTAGATAGAATTTGAACAGGTCAATTCACCACCATTGTCCCAAATGTTCACAACATTGGCTTTGAGGAAAAGATAGATACCATTAAAAAATCAGTCGATGCACAACATAGAATTCAAATGCAATTGTGCATCCCTATAATTATTTTTCTTATTAAAAGTAACTAACAAAATTGTGAAAAGTTCCTGATCAAAAAATAAATAAATTATGAAAAGGTTAGTGTCACAACTGAATAACTCATGCATGTACAATGATTAATAATTACATAGAATTATATATAAGATCATACCTGATTCGTTTTGGTATAGTGACTTTAACGGTGAATAAATGGTCACCACGTATTGATGGCTTATTTAGCTTTGGGGCTCCTTTCTTGGCCAAGACAACCACATCCCCAGGTTGAGTACCAGAGGGAATTTGTAGTTCAGTAGCCCCATCAACCGTCTTCACCTGAGCAACATAAAGCATGGAGAAACAAACATAAATGAGATATTGTTCTGAAATATTGGTAATATGTTCTCTCCCCCTCTGCCTTCACACTCTTAAATTGGGTTCTGATGGTATCTTTAAGATTTTTAGGTTACTTAAGAATGTAAAAAAGCTTGTTGATGGGCATAATTGTAGTCCTTTAATTCAGCAAGCTTTACTTATGCATAAACATCTAATATTTCATTTTAAAATACCCATAAAACAATTAATTTCACCTTAACAACAACTCCCAAGATGGCATCTATGTAGCTGATAGAAACTGTTGAATAAAGGTTTATGCCATCTCTTTGGATCTCTGGAATCTCCTCAACATCAAGGTAAACATAAAGGTCACCTGGACGCCCCCTGCTCAGAAGGACAAACCAATTACTGAAGGATATGACCCATGACTATTAAAATATATCTTTGATATTAACTAAATTACATGTACATATTCTGGAATAGCTGAACTTTTGGAAAATGAAAATATGTTCGAGGAAAGAAAAGCAAGGGAAATCTAGGCTCCGTTTGGCTTGTGGGAAGATTTGGGTGGGATGGGATGGGATGGGATGGGAAAGTGTAAAAATTTACACTTCCATTGTTTTAGATATGAGAAAATAAATGGGAAAAGCACTGTGACGAAGAAGAGAGAAGAGAGGGAGGAAGGGGAGGTAGCAGATCTGGGTTCGAACGGGGAAGGTAGGAGATCTGGGTTCGAAAGGGTAGGTAGCAGAAGAAGAAGAAGCCACCGCCGCTGCTCTGCTTCTGGGTTCGAATGGGAAGGTAGCAGATCTGGGTTTGAAAGGGGAGGTAGCAGAAGAAGAAGAAGGAGAAGCCGCTGCCGCTGCTCTGCTTCTGGGTTCGAAAAGGGGAGGTAGCAGATCTGGGTTCAGGAGAGCCACCGCCGCTGCTCTGCTTCTGAGTTCACGGATGTAGCAGATCTAAGTTCGAAAGCCACCGCCGCTGCTCTGCTTCTAGGTTCGAACGGAGGTAGCAGATCTAGGTTCAAAAGCCGCCGCCGCTGCTCTGCTCTGCTTCTGTAACAGTGATTTCTCAAAATTTTCCACCGGTCACACAGCTTTGGTGCGACCCCAAATCCAAGATTTTGGTATCTGACATCCCACATTTTTCTCATCTCATCCCACAAACCAAACGGAGCCCTAGTTTTCTAAAGGAAGAAATAGTACAATATCTGGTTTGGGCTTGTTTTGGGCTACTTTGTAATTTGTGTTTCAGGCTTGGGCTTGTTTAGTGTATATGATTCAGTCCTCGGGGGAGGTAACATCTTGTGCCTCTTCCTAGGCTGATTGTATTCTCTTATCTGAATTAATAAAATTTCTCTCATTTATCAAAAAAAAAAAATAGTACAATATCTGGTAATATAGTCTTGTGCAAAGCATGAAGAAAGCCAAGCCTTTCTGTACAGAAAGGAGAAGAGGGTGGATCCAGCAACCATTCATAGATATCTAAATTTAATACATTTAATAAGAGAAAATGCAAATTAAGAGAAATAACAAAATAAGAAAACTAACCTGCAAAAGAACATATATGACAAAAGGCTTCCTAATGGCGTCAAGTAAGGAGTTACAATGCAACCTACCCTATTTCTACCACTTGGAGGGATGATGTGACCAATCAAATATGGGGGGCTCTCTGGATTGGCCATGTATATCCCACTGTCCATGTCACTCACTTCTACACCCCACCTAGTTGGCATTTTCCCTAGTAATTTTAGCAGTTAAAATATTGTAACTTTTTTAATTTAAAAGTTTTACACATGACAGTGTTCACGTAGACATGTGGCTAGGACTTCTGAACTAAAATGTCTCTTATGGATTCAGGGTGAAGAGTGGAAAACATGGGTCCTTTTGATCACCTCTATTAGCAAACCTTCACCACATGCATATAAAGGGCATTCTTTCTGTCAACAGGACAGAACTATGTTAGCATCCTCTATGGATGAAGGATGTTAGATGTTTATCAGGAATAAGAGAGGGTGCTAAGTATATGTAAAAAAATATGTATGCATGTACAAGCTAAATGATGCTGAGATTTACTCAAGTGACAGTGGATTAATCTACTGCAGAAAATCCAGACTATCATCAGTTTCTAAGAAAGAAATAAAACTTATCAAAAAAGTTTATAAAATATCTTCACAAGTATATTTACTTACATCTGCAATTTATTTGAAACTTGAAAGCGTTAAGTGAAAGATGCCCACCTCGGTTAGAAAAGAATATACAATTGGGTCCATTTTTTGCACCCAGACAACATTTTGAAAGTTCTATAGATTATTAGGAGTTGTTGATGCATTTTAAAAATTGGAGCTTTCTCATCAGTTATTTTGATAGTCAACTGGGAAGAGTGTGTAATGCTCAAACTATGTTATTTTGAGAACATTCTAGTTGGTTGGATTATCACCAATGGTTCCATGCACTAATCCCCCCTCACCACCACCACCACAACAATAATAATAATAACTAGTTTACCCCTCCCAAGATAATGGCCTTAAATAGGTAGAAGTTAACCTAACTTTTTGCCCATTAGATTTTGCCCCCTTCAAGTTAATGGTAGTATGGTATAATAAAAACTTTTGTTACTTATAAGTAAATAATTTATTCTCCTCATGCATTTGTCTTAAATTTTACACTCATTGTAAACACCAAATTAAATGTTCTCATTTATAATGCCCTCCCCTCACTTGTCCTTTAGATTCTAAAATTCCACCATTTTGTTTCACCTTTTAAAATGGATAATTATGATTTAGGTATAAATTAAAGAAAGACACATGGAGGACTTAACCAAAATAAATAACTAGGATGGAAGTGTGGAACTACAACCACAAAGCTTTTCTTATGGTTCTTTATTTCATGAACTGGTTTTCCATTCCATAAACTTGTGGACTAGTTCAAAGCTTTTAGACACAGAAAGAATAAAACTTATTCACATACCCATTAGGCCCTGCATCACCCTCCCCATTGACCCGGAGAATACTTCCTTTGCTAACACCAGGAGGAACTTTAACTTTGATATCTTTCTTAATGCGAATGCGTCCTTCACCAGCACATTTCCGGCAATATTCAGAAATAACCTCACCACTACCTCCACAATTTGGGCAGACAGAGACCTACAGATCAACCAGATTGGTAGCATTAAGTGCATTATAAAAATAAAAGATCTGATTAATATGCATGGGAAGAGGTACCATCCACAACATTGATTCTTGGTAAGAATTAGTCAAAATAAAATAGGTATTACTGGGCAGGAATCACAATCCATTATAGTTAAGTTGAAAGTGTGCAACTATGGCTTTTGACCAATAACAACATCAAAGACTTAAGAATGAAAATTCAATTAAGGCAGAATCGTTGGCAATCCTCCATGGCATAAGGGCAAAAGACCTGAACATCAGTGACCTTGTGATGGAAGGAGACTCAATAGTAACTGAGTGGTTAAATTGAACCTACACATTTGCATGAAAATGCAGATATACTATTCAGGAAATCAAGAAGATGATAGTGGGTATGAGAGCTATAGTGAAATGGATACCAAGATCTGCTTATGGACTAACAGATGGTTTGGCAAAACAAAGGGCACTGAAGGACAGCATGCTTTGGGGCCAAATAATGTAATTATCCTGTATTAATGCTCCCTATTTCCTGGGTTGGTGTTAGCTGAGGCTAATCACTCTGTGGGACAGCTTTTCCAGAATTATTATAAATTTTGTTGATAGTTTCTTATCAAAAAAAAACATGAAAGACCTACAAATGGCATGGCAAATACAACTTTATCCAGAATAACAACAAAGAGGGAATCCCAATCTAATCAAAACATATGGTAACAAAAAAGACAAAAGGAAAAATAAGTGAATATATAGAAATACCTATTCAAGCCTCTTAATCTTTTCTTATCTTTTTTAAGGCAATCTTTTCTTATCTTATATACACAGTAGTAACAGCTTTTGTTTTCTTAAATGATTAATGGGAATGACAGGCTTGGGATCTAAGAAGATGATAGGCATAAATATCAGATGCCTCAAGTTAAACAGCTGATGGGATGGGATGCAAGTATGATGGATAATTGGGCGTTAGGAGTTGCCAATCCCACATCACCATTTCTCTTGTTCTGACTAGGAAAGCAAAATCCAAGAAAGAGAGCAAGAACTAGCTTACTAAGAAAGTACTCACTCATCAAATTAAGACAGCAACCAGAAAATTACTTGCATACCTGGGAAAATAAACCAAAGGGTGTTTGTTCAGTTCGCATAACTTGACCCCTGCCACCGCAAGTTGAACATATTCTCATCTTCGACCCGACCTTTGCTCCAGTACCATTGCAAAGTTCACATGTTTCCAAATGAGAAAGTTCAAATTCCTTTTCTGCTCCAAAGATGGCCTCAGAAAACTCCAGCCTTATGTCATAACTGCAATATGTTGAGATTATGAGTCAACTCGTATGTCTTCACAACCATTTGTTACTTTTACAGAAAGAATAAAAGTATATCATAAATGTAATATTATTTACCAAAATTGGGAAAATCATACAGGTTACACTTAGCAAAATACCCAATTAAAATGCACAGAAAATAAATTGGCATAACAACAATAACAATACAGGCGCATGATCTATACAACCACACCATATGAACATAGAGTTTCTCTTTTATCATTCATTATTCATTATATGAACAGATATACAATCCATAATTGCAAGCTTGCATGAAAAAATGTCAGGACTTGCTTCTGCCATACCAAGAGTGCCACAACAAGCAACAAACTCTTGAAAATCCCAGCTAAAAAAAACAAAGAAGCACAAAGTAACTCCACCCATTCCCCATTTCTTGCTTCTACTACCTCTGGATATTTCTCTTGTGCTTTTTGGCATTCCCTTCCCTACCTTTTTTTTTTTTTTTGATAGGCAATGTTGAGCCAGGCAGCTCTAGCTGTTCCTTCTTTTATTATTTATTCTTCAGCTTTAGTTGTCATGGACCTAAGGCCCCCTTTCATTGTTGACTCTTGCAGCCACCTTACTAGTTACTAGGGGCAACCTTGTAATTATCCTTTTAATTATGCTTAGAACTAATAAAACTCAATTAGTGGGCTGGGAGACAGTCACGGTTCTTTCTTCCAAAACTCTTATCTTCTTTTTTCCTCTTCTCTTCTTCTTCCATGCTGTTCCAGACACTTTTTTTTTATTCTTTGGTTAAATACACAGATTGGTAACAGAGCAACACTGTCTTTCTTTTCTCTTTCTTTAATCCCATACACCAAGTATGGAGAACTAAGCTGGTAGTTGATTGGTGGTTCATACAGCCTAGTTGGTGGAAGGTTTTTGGAGATTTTTATATCAGATTTGGATGCACAAGAAGCCTCTTGGAGAGTCAGCCCAAAACCCTAGCCAACTAGAGAAGAATTGAAGTTGAGGATTGTTAGAATGCTCAAGTCAGGGGTATTTTGGTCATTCTGGATTATCTGCTTGAGAGTGAAAGGTCTATTGTATCTGAGTTTAAGTTGTGTCCCATCTTCTATGAGGAACAAAATGGTCTTTCCTGTAACTCTATGTTTTTGAATAAATACAAGTGGGTCAGCTAGGGGAGAGCGATTTTGACTCTCTTCTAGTCTGGCCGAACCTTTCTTTC